CATCCACTACAAATGAAAATTCCATTACTTGTGGTATTTAAATTAATTTAACAGAGGTTAAATTCAAATGCAGATTATGTAATTGGAGAGTACATATGAAATAACTAATTAAGCTGGCTCAGAATTTTACTACCGTGTAATTTAAGCATTTGTTAGCAAAATGCTAAAGCTATAATATAACTTTAAGCAGAGTTGGTGAGAATAACAAGCTCTTATCTAAGGACTGAAAACCCTCATCTTAAATACACACAAACATAATTTGCAACTTGGTTAAATGTATGAAAGGGAAAAGTTATAATACAGACTTAAATTACAATAACTGGTAAATTGAAATACCTTACAGCATTATTGAAGAACGTGGAGAAAATGGATTTAGAAAAGCTAAAACAAAAGAATTTGATTATACCTGTAAGAGTTTTCAGTTTACCGATACCTGATATAGAACTATAATAAGCAGTTTTCTTATGAAAAATGAATCTATTTCAGCAGAAGAAAATCATTTATGCCTAAACTTTTTAATGTTGTAATAGACACTTATGTAGTTAACAGAAAGACTGTTATAGTTAAATCATTGTTTTGAAGATTTGAATAGGTAAATTATTGTTTGGATGTGGAATAGTGTATATTATTTGTGACGTTAAGAACTTACCTTAAATTAAGGAATATTTGAACAGCAATTGTAAGAAGCTTGTGTGTGACCTAAGTGACCCGAAATGAAACTGAGCAGATATAAATGCCTTGTTGGATATTGCTGCAGAGTTAGTTATCATAAACTGCCAACAGTTGTTTGCCAGTACTTCAGTACTTAAAAAAAAAAAAAAAAATGGAAGACATTTTCTAAAAATTTTTGTGTTGCACAGAGAATTTATTCATGCATGCTAACGTCAGCTGCCTCAATAGAGTGCAGCTATGAAAATTTTTTTAAAAAACATTACAAATGTTTTACAAGAAAATTGTTGCCAATTCCATAAAAAGATCCTGATTTTCCAAGGGGAATTAGTCTCTTTCAATAAAACCACCAACAATTAACTCAACAGATTGCATCTCATCTCTCTCAGATTTTTGCACAATATTCCTATGCCAATTTTTTTAAAATTTATTTTATTATTATTATTATTATTATTTTTACATGTATGTATATTCAATAGCATACAATAGGCTCCGTCAACCACTATACCATCTGGGAATGCCAAAATATAAAAATGAATATAATATGAAGAAATATAATTTTAGAACTCAAATCTTTTATTTTCAAAATTCTGCAACATGGTATAAGTAGAGGCAAAAAATGTAGTAAATTACAGAACAACGCGTAAAAGTTAAAGTAAGAATCAATAGTTATGAAGTAAAAGTTATGCAATATGTAATAATGTAGAAAAGCTTATGTGTACAAATATTGATCCATGATGACCATAAAACTGGATAGGCCAGAGGTGGGGAACCTTTTTACCATTAGAGGCCACATTTAAATTAGGCAGCAATAAGAGAGGCCGCATAAGCTGATTGACCTAAGAAAGTGACTTTTGTGAAATTATTATAGTTTTTCTATAGATTTAACAATTTATTGCATTATATAGAAAAAATAAAAAATGCTACAAAATTTTAAATATAATATACATATAAAATAATATAAAAAATATTATAAAAATACAATAAAAAATTTTTTTTATTCACTAAGTCAGTGACTATTTGGCTTTGTTTTTGTTTGACAGTAATTGTATATTTGGATCAAGCTTCGTAACACACAGCTTTAATTGATCCTCTAAATGTGCATCTGTAATTTGCGTTCTTAAATTTGTTTTTATTCTTGACATGAGAGAAATGTTGTCTCGCAACAGTAGGTACTTCCGAAGCAGGAAAGTAAACGACGAGCATGTTCTCGAAGGCATGGATATTCAACAGCATTTTTCCAGATTTCTATGGGATACTTTTTTAGCGTTAAAAGGGATTTGATGATATCTTCCCCTAAATCAATTAACTCCATTTGTAGTTCTGCAGGAGCCTCGGATATATCTATTAAATGTGGTTCAAATGCCAGTTTTCATAGCAGGAGTGTGCTCGTCAAAAAATCAGAAAATCTATTAGTATACTCTTCTATTAACAATCCAAGACACCTACATATTCATCGAATATTTTATTTTCACAGTTCTGCTCATTTAACATTTTAGCTAGCTCCGGGAAGTGTTGTGCAGTATTTCCGATCGAAAAAAAAGCAATGTTTTGAAAAATGATAATTTTTTTCTAAACGCTTGGATCTTTTGCCACATTTCATAAATATACCTCGTTTCACCTTGCAGGCAAATATTTAAATTGTTTTGTTTTGTTATCATCATATCAGACAAAAATGCAAGGTTTCTGAGAAATACTTTATCTGATAGATCACATTGTTTTCCTTGTTCTTTATAAAAGTTTAAAATTTGTCGTCGTATCGTAAAGACAAAACTTTTATCAAAAACCTGACCTGTTGATAGCCAGCAAACCTTGCAGTAGTATGGTAGGTCAACACTATACGTTTCCTCATCTAATGAGAGCATCTGCCGAAATTCACGATGACGCATTCTATTTACGCGAATATAGTTGACAATGGCAATGGTTCTATCCAGAGTGTCTTGCAAAATGATAGATTTTGCGCAAAGATTTTGCTGATGCAAAATGCAGTGAAATGATATAAATTTTTTCAAGTTTTTCCTTTTTTTAACAAAGCAACGAATCCTTCTTTTTTGGCCTCTCATAGAAGGTGCGCCATCGGTGAAGACACTGACTAAATTACTGACATTCAATTGTAATTTATTACATACTTCTTTGAAGTTTTCGTCGAAAATATCGGCTCCGCGAGTTCTTCCAGTTAGTGTACCCAACGCAAGTAGTTCTCGTAACATTGAAAATCTTTAGTTATAGAAAGCACGAAAAAAATAAAACTTGGGCCGAATTTTTATCAGTGCTTTCATCTAAAGCATTGAAAAAAAAACATTTCATTTTGTATAATTGCATGAAGTGGCTCTGTTACATTTTGCGCTAATTCGTGCTGTCGATCTGTTACAGTTCTCTTGAAAGAGGTAATTGTTGTATTTGTCGACATTTCTTGGATCTAACATACTTACTGCTTCAACAATACATTCTTTAATTATTTCAATGTCACTAAATGGTTTGCCCCCTTTTTTTCAAGTATATGTGCTATTTTATATACGTAACAGCAACTGCAGCGGAATTTTGATTTACAAAGGCACTAAAAGATGCCTGCTGATGATTCTTCTCATTTTTCAACTTTTGAAGTGCAGCTTTTCGTGATTCACCTTCTAAAGCGAAATATTTATGTTCTTTATGAGTCAAATAGTGTTTATTTGCATTCGCTTTTTTAAAGTATTTAAAAACTGTATTGCACAAAAAACATCATTTATCTTTCTCAGCAGTAAAGAAAGAAAAATCTAACCCATTCTACATTAAATGTTCTGTTTTCATCACCTAATTTTCTTCTTTACTATTTGACATGATGGATAAAAAAAAACGAATATCAAATAATATCTTTACAAAAGTGTACTTTTCTAGAAATACATAAACCGTGTACCTGTTTATAAGCACGCACTGTTAACTACAGTTAGCTGAAGATCGCAACAGGGAAAGCGTTGAGAGATGCGAGTCAGAGAAGCCAAAGCAAGGTGTGACACTCAAATGGGAGATCTGAAACCGAGTTTTGTTTACTTCTTAGACAAGGTAGTTGGCGCTGCTAGCTGTGGGCCAGAGCCTCGCTCATGCGTGTTAGAGTCCGTTTCAGACTAGTATTCTGACGTCATGTTACAATAGACTGTCTTTGGTGGGATTTTTCGTACAACTGTCATGGCGTTGATGTACAATAGTTGTTTGAAACGAACTCTACCATTTTGTACTAGGTGGCAAAGGGCTGCACAAGAACCTCGCGGAGGCCGTAGGTTCCCCACCTATGGGATAGGCTAAGGCAGATTAAATAATCATCTTGATTTCAGTTGACATCTGCAGCCATAATTTACTTGACACTCTGATCATACCTGTTCAAGAGCATTTATATTTTTGATATATTGTTGTGATAGGAAGAGGGCAGTATCTTAGCAAAAATAGAGGTGCAAAGTGTTCAGTTATCTAGTATAGAAGCTCCAAGAGAAGGGTTTCAGTTCTCGAAATTTTGAATTCAAGTTCCGAATTAGCTATGTCATTAGCTCTATGTAAGTCATATGATGGAGACTGATCTAGAAATGATGCAATGCAGAAATTTTTATTACTACTTTTAAAATAGAAAGAGGAAATACCCAAATAAAAAATGAGGAAATTAGGAGCTATTGCTAATTTAAATTATAATTTTGATTAACATATTTTTTTATCTTGCATACATTTATTATTATTATTATTATTATCATTCCTGCCTTATGTAAGGTATAAATTAAATTGCAAGTCAGTAGTGTAGAAGGAACTTTATAGCCATTTTTTATTAGTCTGATATGAATAAACATACAAAATTTTCCTCTTAAAACAGAAAGCCATAATATACTATCAGCACTGTTTTTCTTTCTTCATTAAAACTCAAAATGATGATGATGATTTTTCATTAGATATATTCATATATCCTTGAACTTTCTCTCTTTCTTTTATGCGCTTACATATAATATTCATTCAGAAAAAATACAGTTTATTTTTGCACTTATATAATCGTAAGTCTGTAATGAAATTGAATTCTTCTAAAATAGAGACATGAGATTTTGTTTGTGGATTGCCTGAGGTTGATTTATATAATAAAATCACTTTCAAGAGTGTTAAGTTCTCTTTGCAACTGCTAACCAACCACCAAAAGTTTAAAAATAAATAGATAAATAAAAAATATGCAGTTGGTGATATCTAGGGCAATAATCCTTTTAGTCCTAAAATCCTAACATTTCCAAAAAATTCTTACAATCATTAACTTATTATTTCAGATAAATTATAATGTAAGGAAGTCACAATAATATTTTAATTATTTTATTCTCTGTTAATAGGTTACCATAAGGTGTCGAGACATCACTAGCATGACAAAGGAAAAAACTGCAAGAGTCATTCCAAATGCAATACACATAGCTACAGATACTGAGAAACACTTCTTTACATCCTTTGGTGCTAGGGATAAAACATTTCTGATGCTTTTTCGAATCTGGCAGAATGCATTATTAGAACAAGTAAATTTATATATTTAATTATGTATTTAAAACTTTTTATTATTTTAAGTCATTTTGTAATATCAATATTTTTTCTAATTGAAAAATCTGACGAACATGTATACGGAACTATGAACATGTCTAGTGAGTGAACTATGTAAATACATATATGTATTATAACAAAATAGCCAAGAATCATCTACCTACCAGGGGTGCCTTTGGGAAGAATTTTTTAAGAGAAATTAAATTGTCTTTCTATATGACACAAGGAAATTCATAAAATCATCCCCATCAGTTTAAGGTCCCAGCAGAAGCTGGGGTTGAATTGTAAAAGAATACAGTAGTCTTAAGATCTAGGCCATTGGTAAGAGCAAATTGCATTTGCATGCAGTGGTGATCTGTATATGGCTCGTGCGAGCAATTTGTTAAGTTTTTCTCTAATTTGCTAACTACTTGTTATTTTCCCACTAGTTTATGTACCAAAATGTCTTGTGTGTTGTAATCATACTTTGATGTTTATTAGTCTTCCTCTTGATAGTTGGAATCTCTCTGATATTGTATCACATGTGTTATAGGTAACTTAAAATTCAAATAAGCACTGGAAAATGCCGAACTTTGTTTTCAGTAAGTTTATTGTTTCATATCAAATTGTTTAATGTTGGGATGATAGGACAAAGCCTTTTCTAAAATGCTGTTGCATATGATACCTTTGCTTTCTGTTTCCAAAAACTCTTCTTTTTTAAAACAAATGGTTATGAGTGATGATAAATGAGTACTGTACTGTAATGTCAAATACTGAATGACTCTGTGTCATGTAGAAATAATGCATGCCAGCTCCATCTATTCCAAAAAGGTTTTCTTAGTTGTATGGTAGGATATCAAGGGAATAATCCATTGGAAATTACTTCTCCATAACCAAACCATTAACGCTGACATGTAATGCCAGACCTCATGCTACTTAAATCACTGGGGAGGGGACTACTCAACTTCCATTGGAAATCTTAACTTTACCTCATCCAGCACACTTCCTGGACTTTGTGCCTTTAAACTACCTTCATTTTCTATTTTTACAGAATTCTTTGAGCTTTCAAACTGTTGAACTGATGCGCAGGATGTGAAAGCAGCATTACAGTAAACTCTTGGCAAGCACAGATTTGTGGAACAACAGTTTCACACATGTGCATTTTCTTAATTGTTTCCATTTAATTTATTCGATGCTCACTTCTCAGTATTAAATGTTTGCTGGTGTCAGTTCAGGCTTCAAATTATCAACAATTTTTAGGATGAGGACCTTAGTCATTGAACTGCTGTCTGACAGGATGCACTTTCATGTGGGGATGGGCAATTCGTGCTAAGCCTAATTTTGCAAAGAAATCCATATAAAATAAATTTGGATATAATTGTTCTTTGTCATATTATGAGAAGAATACGCTGATAGTTATTTAATCAGAATTGATTTTAAAATATTTTCCTTAAAAATTCTGTAAAATAATGAATTCTACAATTTAATTTTTTTTTTTTTTTTTTTTTTTTTTACTTCCTCAAATAAATATATATGGGAAAATATCCAATTGCAGATATTTTATTATATTTTATTAATAAATATAAAATTGTAATTTTATTAATCTCTTTAAAAATATCAGCCTTAAAGGAACAAAAGGGAGGGAATATTTCAAAATGTACTAGACTTTTTGGATTATTTTCATCAAAATAATCAAGCCGAAAAACACTCCAATTTGTTCCAATTTCATGTCTGGAAATTTTAATGATTTTGGAACTGTGTGTTACGTTTGCAATGTATTTTATGATTATCATGAGAAAAAAGTGTCTTTGATAGCTCATCCGGTGTTAATATTTGGTGCTGTTAGAGAATCAAAAGTTTCAAATCTTGAAAAATCCAAACCTAGTTTAAAATATGTGAACTGTGTCCTTAGGTAAGATGCTGTGATTTCTGATCCTTTATCTACATATCCAACATACTGACTATATCCTTGATCCATGTATGTTGCCATTTCTATGTGTTAATATGCTCATATTAGGATCGTTATGTATATCATTTTCCAATTCTTTAGAAATATCATTACTGTCATAAATATCAGAAAATGACTCATTCATCATATGTGTATACTATTCTGTTAAATACTGTTTTCATTTTGCCATTTGAAGTACAAGAAATATTTTGCTAAGAGAGACACAAAGTATTCGTCTCGGTGTTAACCAGACTTTAAAAGGAATAAGCAAAGCCTCTAAAAGCTTAGAATATCTACCCCTATCTCTCCAAAAATAAAAATAAAAGTATTTGGAAGCTTCGAGAACAGGTGCATGTTTATGCCAGCTGATGCAGTTAACAGCTAATTCTGTTTATTGTACATTACCTTATTCTGCATTCCTGTTCTCTCCTCCCCCCAAAAAAACTCTGCAACCGAATGATGGTCTGCATCTAGCGGCCCCCCCAAAAAAGTCCTAATTAAATGTTTTATAAAAAAATTCACATGTGGCACACCTGTGGTCAAGTCAGTTTACTGGGTGATTCATGTAGGGTACACCCATCCGGTGTTAATATTTGGTGCTGTTAGAGAATCAAAAGTTTCAAATCTTGAAAAATCCAAACTTAGTTTAAAATATGTGAACTGTGTCCTTAGGTAAGATGCTGTGATTTCTGATCCTGTATCTACATATCCAACATACTGACTATATCCTTGATATCCATGTATGTTGCCATTTCTATGTGTTAATATGCTCATATTAGGATCGTTATGTATATCATTTTCCAATTCTTTAGAAATATCATTACTGTCATAAATATCAGAAAATGACTCATTCATCATATGTGTATACTATTCTGTTAAATACTGTTTTCATTTTGCCATTTGAAGTACAAGAAATATTTTGCCAAAGGAGACGCAAAGTATTCGTCTCGGTGTTAACCAGACTTTAAAAGGAATAAGCAAAGCCTCTAAAAGCTTAGAATATCTACCCCTATCTCTCCAAAAATAAAAATAAAAGTATTCGGAAGCTTCGAGAACAGGTGCATGTTTATGCCAGATGATGCAGTTAACAGCTAATTCTGTTTATTGTTCATTAATTAATTCTGCATTCCTGTTCTCTCCTCCCCCCAAAAAAACTCTGCAACAGAATGATGGTCTGCATCTAGCGGCCCCCCCAAAAAAGACCTAATTAAATGTTTTATAAAAAAATTCACATGTGGCACACCTGTGGTCAAGTCAGTTTACTGGGTGATTCATTTAGGGTACACCCATCCGGTGTTAATATTTGGTGCTGTTAGAGAATCAAAAGTTTCAAATCTTGAAAAATCCAAACTTAGTTTAAAATATGTGAACTGTGTCCTTAGGTAAGATGCTGTGATTTCTGATCCTGTATCTACATATCCAACATACTGACTATATCCTTGATATCCATGTATGTTGCCATTTCTATGTGTTAATATGCTCATATTAGGATCGTTATGTATATCATTTTCCAATTCTTTAGAAATATCATTACTGTCATAAATATCAGAAAATGACTCATTCATCATATGTGTATACTATTCTGTTAAATACTGTTTTCATTTTGCCATTTGAAGTACAAGAAATTTTGCCATTTGAAGTACATTTGAAGTACAAGAAATATTTTGCCAAAGGAGACACAAAGTATTCGTCTCGGTGTTAACCAGACTTAAAAGGAATAAGCAAAGCCTCTAAAAGCTTAGAATATCTACCCCTATCTCTCCAAAAATAAAAATAAAAGTATTCGGAAGCTTCGAGAACAGGTGCATGTTTATGCCAGCTGATGCAGTTAACAGCTAATTCTGTTTATTGTACATTACTTAATTCTGCATTCCTGTTCTCTCCTCCCCCCAAAAAAACTCTGCAACAGAATGATGGTCTGCATCTAGCGGCCCCCCCCAAAAAAGTCCTAATTAAATGTTTTATAAAAAAATTCACATGTGGCACACCTGTAGTCAAATCAGTTTACTGGGTGATTCATGTAGGGTACACCCATCCATGAAATAACATTTGCTGCAAGTGCAAATGGGACATGCCATAAAGAATTTTCATCAATTGAATATGAAGGCAAAAAAATAATGCAAACTGTAAAATCAATTGTCAGCTAAGGAAAGAAGAAAAAAAATCAAAGAATTAATTGGAAAATAATGAATAAAGAATTAAATGATTTTATAACTAGTCAACTGTAAAAGCAATGATAATGAAGAAGTTAAAAGAATTGTTAAAAGAGGCACAGGAACTGTCTGCTTTAGCAATAAAGTTTGACCCAAATGAAGAAGAGAATGAGCACTTTATGAGAGGTATTGAGAATCTGCTTTTTACCACAGAGTGTTTTAAAAAATTTCATCAGTCATTATCCCAACCAAAAATCAGGAGCTTTTTTTTTTTTTTAAAAAAAAAGAATTATGTCTCATACTTAGTAAGCAGTAATAAAATCTTTTTTAATTAACATTTGTTTCTTTTCCCTCTTCTAATTATAACAGTATTAATTCATTTAATTATATGTGCCTTCTTAATCTAAATTATATCTAACACATTTTTTCCATAAAAAGTTAAATACGTGGAACAAGATCTTATTATGCATGCAATGTATTTAATGACATAACCTTCACGTTCAGCAAGGGTTCACAATCCAGGATTCTTTTTACTCTAAATCAAAGGATTTTTATCAACAAGCTATCAGTCTACTAAATGATGACTATTAGTGAATACATAGGCACTATGCTGTTTTAATTCACTTTTATTTTCACCTAAAAGATGGGTAGAACTTTTTTCACATTTTAATATTATTTATTAATTTGAAGTTCTTTTGAAGTCATGTAAGTGTATGATACTAATGATACTAATATTCTTATTTATGCATACATATCACTTTGTATTCTGTGTAATGAAAGAGCATATGCTTAGTTCTGAGGCATGATCATTTTATGTAGGATAATTTCATTATTTTGTATAAAATAAAAAGTAGTATGTATATAAAAGTAAGAATGATTTATGTTAGAAACATTCCAGATACTTACAATTGGGAACTTAAAATAACTGATTGAATGGATCAAATACAGTGGGATTATTCAAAGTATATAGACAGTAGCTTGATGCAGTTTTCACAGAATCATGGGATTTTTTTAATGATGAAACATTTTATTGCCAGAATAGTTACATTTTCAGGTGGCACTGTAAAGGTCCTTATATAAGATCAAAAATTCTGTTAAGTTGTACCACAAAACTTTCTAGTGATGTATTTTAATGTTTGATGTTTTTGGTAGCTTAGCAGTTGTCAGTTATTTCAGTTGATATAATCATCATTATAAACTTTAGCTCTATAATTCATAAATGAAACTAGGTACTTGACAGGCATTTTTCAGTTAGAGATTTCAAAGTTCATAGGCTCTAAAAAATAAAGCTACAAAGAAGTACTTATTAAAAAAAAGGGAGGGGAGTTGACTGCTTGTAAAATTCAGCTGTCCAGCATTGTTTTCCTGTGTTATTTCAATTAAATGATTCATCAGTTTTTTTTAATATTATTGATATGTAAAACATAATGTAGGCTGGTTATCATTAATTAAGAAGAAATCACAAAAATGATGATTACTCAAAAAGTTATATGTAGAATGTAATGAAACTGGCCCACAGTATACAACACATAATAATGTATAAAATAACATGAAAAGAAATTACTAGACAATTATGATGTTATAGAAATTAGCATATATTTGAAATGAACAAATTAGATAAGCCAATGTGGTGTAGGAAAATATCAATATGGAGTAGTATGATGCCATCAATTATGCAGTTGATCACTTCTGTAGAAAGTGAGAGCCATTGCTCTTGCAAAGCAGTTGCGAATGTGGCAGTGGTCTGAAGTTTAGGATTGAGAGCAGCTATATGTCTTCCTAAAGCATCCAATAATACTCTATAGGAGTCAGGTCTTGTGATGGCTATTCCATGCACTGAATTGCTTACTGGTGAAGATAATCTCCCATGATGCAAGTCCTGTGTGGTCTAGCAATGCCATCCTGTAGCAGGAAGTTATAACCTATTGCCCCAGCATAATGGCACAGATGAGCATCAAGGATGTCATATGTATAAGCCTGAGCATTCACACTTCGACGAAGAAAGACATGGAGATTTGTGCGTCCATCCAAAAAGATACGCCACAAACACTGACACTGCCTTCTCTATGTGCATCTCATTCACAGATGCTTGATGGATCATAACAGGTTCCAGGTTCTCTCCAAATTAAATAATGCCAACTGTCACTTTGGAGGCTAAATCCGAACTTCTCCGTAAAGAAAACAACCCTCCATTAATCAGTAGTCCAGCGGATATGTTGAGGGGCCAACCTCCAAACATTCTCTTCTATGATGTGATATGAGTGGCACATAAATGGCTGGTCGCTTTGCAAACAGACCTCTTTCATGAAGCCTTTATGCATGATGTACTTTGATGCCAACCCTCCGGTGGCTGCTGCAGTAGGGGATAATCTGAGTTGATTCATAGTTGTGGCTCTATTCTTTCGTGCACGTAACAGCAAATATCTGTCACTGGCACTCATTGCAGCAGTTGGCCATTTTTGGCAGAACCACCTAGATGTTGAATCTGGTGTTAGAAATTGTTACCAAAATCTATGAACCACCAAAGGACTCGCATTTAGCTATCTAGCCTCTTCTGTGTGTGCTGCCTCTAGTCTCCCAATAGCTCTCCATCACAGTTCTTCGGGCAAATGATGTCTGGTGGTCATAGTTACAAATTGGCTTTCCCAGATTTCTTATCTCAGTATCACAGTGATATTTGCAGGCTTGCTCTGAAACATGCAATTTTATGCTCCTCACAGGTGACATATTCTGATTGCAGCATCATTAATTTGCATGCTACTGTTTACTGAGCAATTCTTATTTGACAACATATTCATATTTTATATGGATTGGCTTATTTTTGAACGAGTTATTGCTATTTCTGTTATTTTTCCTTAACTTTTGGAAACTAGTGTATTTGTAATTTCAGGCATGTTAAATTTAGTTAAATTGCTGAGTATTTCATAATATAAAATTTTGGTAAGTGGATAAAGTGTAAAGTAATTGACCTGTTAATTAAAGTTTAATAATCTATTTTAAAATAACTAATTTTTAAATATTTATTTTTCAGCCAATGACTTCTCAAGAATTGTGGCAGTGGGTACATATAAGTTATGGCGAAGAATTAGGATTAACAAGTGATGACGATGATTACGTTGCTCCACCTATACTAGAGGATGAACTAAAATCTAGTAAACATTCAGAGCAGAGCATTATAAAATACATTGAAAAAGCTGATTCTGTAAATCTTCATGAAAGTGCTAGTGAACTGCTGGAAGAAGAATATTCTGTAAGCTAATTTTTTAAAGAATTGAGGAAAAAAGTTACATAAATTTCACTGTGAAAAATTATTATGTTGTGCTTTTTATTTATGCTCTTAAAAAAAAAAAAAAAAACTTTTTTTAAAAAAAAAGTCATTTTAAAGTACTCAGTTTTAAATAGAATAAATTTCCTAATAAATATCTGAACAAAGATTATTTCTGAATAAGTAAAAAAAAAAAAAAAAAATACTAGCTAATTAATTGCTACAGTTTTTGCTTAAAACATTAGATGAGAATTTTTAATGATTAAGTGTTACACAAATTGAAATATTTAAATATTTTACAGTGTACTTACAGAGCTGATCCAGAAACTAAGAACCATTTAGGTAATAAAAACAATTAGCAATTTGATTTCATTTGTTTTTTTATTACAGAAAAATCTATACACCTTAAACTACTCTGGCGTAGCCCGCATATGGTCGTAGGGCAAACTTTGTTTTGCAAGGTGGACCGGGCTGCGCCCTAACAAAACAAAACACCTTAAACTACTTTTCGACATATTCACCACGCAAATTAAGGCATGTGTCATATCTTGGCACTCGTACCCACTTTGTAGAATTTGGCCGCCTGTGACATGAACCAGTTGTGGACATTTACCTGGATCTTATGATCACTTGCAAAGTACTCACGAGCAAAAATTTTTTGAGTTGAAAAAAGAAATGGAAGTTATATTGAGCTAAGTCCAGATTATAAGGAAGATGACAGAATAGTTCCCAGTGAAATGAATCAAACAGCATCATCAGTATATGTGTGGTATGCAATGCATGAACACAATACCAGAACTCAGTAGTCCATGACTTTTGTTCTGTGTAGTATGCCGTAACTTCTTCAATGTCACAGAGTAAGCTGTATCATTGATTGTTATACCACATTCTCTTCAATCGATTATAAAATTCATTAACATGATTGTTATACCACATTCTCTTCAATCGATTATAAAATTCATTAACAGACCCAAAACATGGGGCACGTGAATTTTCTTAAAGAAAGGTGGCTTTGCTTTCTCGGGTTTCGGGGAGCTGTATTTGCTATTCCAGTCACTGTCATTTATTTTAGATGTCTCATAACAAATCTATGTTTCATTGCCTGTAACAATTCTTTTTGAAAAGTCATTTTCTTCTGTTTACATCCGCAAAACCTCAAAGGCTGCTCCCATGCGTTTCTGTTTTTAAACATCCATTAGTGTTTTTGGTAGCCATCACGAACACAGTTTTTGTAGTGCAAATGTTTAGTCACAATTTCACATAATAAAGATTGTGAAATGTTTTGAAAATACATTGACAAATCAGTAATCATGACTTGCCTGTTGGAACCAACTTTTTTGTCAATGCAACACACCAACTCTCTGGTGATCAGTGACAGGAGTCCACTGTGCTCCTCGTTGTGGGCATTTTCTTTCCTTCATTAACATCCTAACCTACTTTCATACCATGCCTTTACTCATCACTGTAAGTTTCACTTACCTGTCAAGAAATTTCTCAAGGTTGAATATTTCTCACATTCAAAAAACTTTATAATCACTCTTATTTCACAGCTGACAGGCCTATCAGTTGTTTTAAACATGATTACTGACAAATAGTCACATCAAACATTAACATAAACAAACAAATTAGCTAGATATATTTCTCTCGAAAAATGCAACTACGCATGCGCTACCTTCGTGCTGTTAGATGCGCAGGAGATATGGGCAAATGGTACTTACTTTCTGGATCAGCTTCGTATTTGTAAGACCAATGTATATATATCAAATATTTCTTTTTCAAGAAAAATGATAATTTTAATCATGCAGTGTGAGTCTGCACTATAAATTGCTAGCTGTCTTAAAAAATAAAACATATCTGTAAAGATTCCCTCCCCCAATTAAAACAGTTCCTCAAAAAATGTAAAAATTTACATTGTTTCAAATATATTGCTTTGAGATTGCCTTATATTGTTATATATTCTTTTAATTAAATTTTGGATGACAAGTTGTTTTATAGTGCAAATAATTTCCTCTTTTCTTTTTTACTTCTTTGTACGAAGTAAAAAGGAAGTATTGTAATTGTGAAAAGTTTCAGGCAGCATATTTCAACAAAAATATCCATTTTGACCGCTATCAAATGCAATTTAACGATGTTTTTGCGTAACATATGCACGTAAGGACATAATAAGAGACTCTTTTCCTCCAAAAAAATTATAAAACTGCTTTAAAATGAATTCTGAAGAGAAATTTTCGTGGTGTCTGTATGAACGTATGTACGTACGTATCTCATATAACTCAAAAACGAGTATCCTCAGAATTTCGAAATTTTGTATATAGGACTGCTATAACATGTATACATGCACCTCGTATTTTGGTTGCAATCGGCCGCAGTAAACGTATAAGTATATTTTTATATATCTATCCTGTTATCGGGCATAGTGATCTCAGTTCTTTATTCTTATAGTTTGTACTTGTACGTTTTTGCTTAAAAAATGATTGAATTATGTTGTTCTTATCTTCCGGTTAAGTTTTTTATGCCTTTCATAAATCTGGAAGCAATATTTGTACAATTATCAAGACGAACATATTTGTTTACATTTGAAACAGAAGAATAGTAGATTTGTTGCCAATCTAGAGAGACTAAGCTTTGCAACAACAAAAATAGTGCGTTCCTTTATTATTGCGAATTTAATCATGCTTAATCCTTTATGGAATTTTTTTGAGGAAATAAGTGTTTAAGATTTACTTCATGATTTTTAATACATTTTTGTTTTTATTTTTTCTTATAATTCCATTATCTGGTGAAAAGCGGTTTCATTTTTGTTTTGTTTGCTTAATTTCTTTTATACATCGTTCTAGCTTTATTATAGTATTATAACATGTGGTTATGATAAGATAATTCTTCAAATGATATAAATTTTATGCATTCTGAGTTATAACATGAGCGAAATATTAAGTGAACCTAGCACCAAAGTGTCGCTATGGTAAACAAATGTAGTGAATTTTAAAGAGTGCATTTATTCTATTGTGGTGTATGCGCTATCGACGAAGTAGATTTAATTCAATCCAAAGTGTTTAAATGAAATGCAAGAAAAATGCGTATAATTTAATATTCTGCACAAGGAAGTCATGTGGTGTACACATCAGATTTTTATATTTTAAATTTACATTCTTTCACAGTTATCTTTTTAAGAGTAGAAGTATTTTTTAATTAAAATTATATATGGATATATAGATAACTCCTTAACTGCTGAAGAAATCATCTGCAGTTCATTCCCCAGTGTAAGCATGTAATGAAACGGTGAATTTGGGCAAAAGCAGAGTCACAGTTTATTATCAGAAAATGTTTATTGTTACAGTGAAAATATTGAAAATACAAAATTAAAATATGGAGTATAATAAAAAGAGTAAAGCATTAGTACTTAGATTTTGTATGATATATCCTGAAATGTAATTAAACACATAATCCAACATCACATTTAGGATATTGATAGTGGGATTCACAGTGAATTTTTATCTAGAAGCAGTCTATGTGTTTCCTTGCTGCATATTTCTTTGAAGAAGTTAATGGTACTAAATCTGGAAGGTGTGTGTTTTGTTTTGTTATGCTATCTCAATACAGTAAATTTACTACACTGCAAAGCTGCAGTTTTGTGTTTCTTCAAAGGAAGTTTGTTGAAGCTTTCTGGCTAATCACAGCAATTAGGGCAAAGAGTTTCACCAATGCCAGTTTTATTTTGGATAAGAATGTATACTAATTCTGGTGACAGATCAAATTTGCCAGCAATTACCCAATAATATTTTCCCAAAAGAAGTTCCACGAGCATCTTCACCGATTTTGTAGCAATCAGTAATTTTCTCTTTTTTTTATTATTATTATATATTCTACTCTTTTCTGTAAACTTTTCTTTCTTTTTTTAGTCCTAACGGGCTTTGTCCTTGAAGGACTATAGTTTTCGTTTTGCGATTTTGTGTCGGAACTGTATAAATGGCGTATCACTTTTCAAATCATTGCTACCAAATACTATCACACTATCACACTGTATTATATTTAAAGAAATTAAATAATGAAGAATCTGCATAAATGAATGTATGTTTCTCACATTGCGTTAAAACAACGGTACTTAGAGCCATCCAACTTTTGAAAGACATAGGCATCTGAAAGCCCAAATTTGGAATTTGTTTTATTATCGATTTCATGTTTTGTAAACTTTAACCAATTTTTTATTAACAAACTCAACAATTTAAAAGCGATCAATGGCAGCACTCTACCGGGGGGGGGGACTTTTTATCTCCAGCGCGCAGAACTGTGTATTGGAAATTCTAAAGTTATGCTCATTTTAAAATTATTTTGCGACATTGCTGTTGAACTGAATTTTATGATTTAAGGGCAAAAAACATGATATTTAATAAATAAAGGTAGCATACAAAACGTCAAAAAAAAGTTCCTTAGGATGTAATTTAAAATCTGTAACCTTTCAGTTTTTTTTTTGGGGGGGGGTAAACATATCCTGGCTCTACTGTAATAACTACAAACTATTTTACTTCAAAGTGAGCTGTTTTCAAAGATATGTATTGTACCCATAATAGTCTGTCTTTGCATTCCAAAGCTATTTGCATAATTATATGGCCAGCAGCAAAGTACAGGAGACCATATTTGGTAAAGCCATACATTATGTCTGGGGCAGTTAACCCTTTAACTGTCAAGTTATTTTGATGATTTAGGTACATAAATTGTCAATTTTTTATTGCAAAAATCAAATGTTTAGTACAAAATAAAATATACTTAGTAGTTAAAAATTGATATTTTGAATTACACGCATATAAATTTTAAGGTTTTGTAGCCACTGCATATTCGCTTGAGATTAGCTATTATATATATTCGCTTGTCACTCAGCATGGCAGTGGTAAAGTTCACTTCTAGTGGAGCATTATTTTCTAAAAATTAAAAAAAAATTAATTTAATTATTTTCTAAAAAAAATAAATAAAAATTAATACATTTTAGTAGTTTAGTATTTCCATTTTGTGAGGCATAACTGGAAATACTTTTCCAAGCACAAACCAACTCCACACTCAGTACACCAGAATCGTGTTTCCTTCCTTATCTTTTCCCCATTTTCATCCTTTTTTGAACAACAAACTTTCTACTGTCTTGTAGGCTCAGGTTTCGCAAGAGTAGGAGGAATATGGGATGAAGAATCTAAATCATCTATATAACATTTCAAACTGGATACTATTTTGCAATAAAAAATGCCACACACTTTAAACATAAACCTCTATCCTTTGAAACCTTTGCTAAGGTGCTGCCATCTATTGAAGCTGAAATAAACTCCTCATGATATATATTCGGGTATAACAATACGATGTACTCAAAAATGAATTAACCCGAGTCATACTCGGGGATGACATTTTGGAACACCTGTGATGTACCCGAGATTATTTTGGGCATGACAGTTAAAAGCTTAATACATCGACTTCACCTGAGGCAGTTAAGGAGTTTATATTTTTTGTAGCATTCTAGACTTAGAAAAACAAATTACATACAGTTATGTTACATTTTAAATATGATCCCTAAAAGTACGGTTATACCCTTGAATATTAAAATTTTCTGTTTGTCATTTTTTTTATATTTTAAATTTGCAGTCTTCCACAGTTATGCTTGTAACTGTAGGAATATTTTTTTAATTAAAATTGCATACAACTATATGGAAGCCGCCCGGACGGCATAGTGTTTAGGGGAGCCTGACTGCGATACCGAAGGTCATGGGTTCGAATCCCGCAGAAGGCATCGTTATAACTGTCTGTCCCTTCATAGGAGGCAATGATGTCCCACCTATTAGGTGCTTTCATAATAAAGAGACCACCACATCTGGCCTTAGTATAGATTAATAGACTCTGTTACAAATGTAACTGTTCAAAATCTGCCATTGGAAAAAAAAAAGTATATATATAGATACAGAGGGTGTTTGCACATTTTTAGAACAATTTTGATAAAGAATTTAAAAAAAAGCTAGTATTTTGGAATATAAATTTATAGAATCAGCATACTATTTGAAATGAGAAGTATCGTCTTCTACTTTTAAATTTGAACGCATGTAAACAAGCTGGGGACTGACAGATATGTTTTTGCACTTTCTGAAGAGAAATATTGCTATTCCATTATTTATAAATGTTGTGAAATGCATGGTATTAAAGTTTCTAAGTGTAAAATAAGCAACATTATTAATTTGAGGTGGGGGAAAACTGTCATTCATTATTTCTCCATCTAAAGAAGATTCCAAGCGAATAACCAAAAATGTTATGTTCTGTTTCTAATGTTTTTAAAGTTAAACCATTAGTAACAAGAGAAGATCTACCGATGCAGAAGTCACTTGCAAAGTCTTTAAATACATCTGTAACAACACTCAATAAAATAATAAACCAAAGTTTACACTTAAAAAAGCTAAAAAAAAACCCCGAGGCGAACAATTTTTATAATCCTCTGTGGAATTCTTTAGCAAGAGATAAATGAAAGTACATTGTGATCCTTGATGAAGCATGAGCTTGCTTAAATGACTGCAGCAAAAAAAGGTCTATTTTTTAAATCAAAAACAAAGAGAAAAGAATGTACAGACCTATGGTTCTGTCAATGCAAAGAAAGTTTCAATAAGGGTTTTATGTCTGTCGCAAAATTATCTTAGAGTGGGAAATTAAGAATGAGAAAGGTGAGGGGGGTGAATATTTAAATCAACTTACTGTCAAGAAAAAGTTTTATGTCTGATATTTACAGATGAAATTTCATTTCTTTATCCCAGTGACTTTCAAAGAGTGAAACTTGGCCCAAACAAAGCAACAAGTCATACTTCAAAAAGTATCATTACATTCCTTAAAAAAATGAAGACTGATTACATGTATTGCCTACATACTTTTCCAACCTATTCCTGCAAAGTTCTCTGATGTTTCAGTGGACTAAGTCCAGAAAAAAGGCTATCAGATGAAATACTTAAAAAATACTGTTTACACTTTAAATGTTATTAAACAGTTTGAACTCATTCTAAAAATGTGTAAACACCTTTTTCTTTTCTTTTTTTCCTGAGAATATTTAAGTGATAAATCAAAATAGATAATTTTACATCTTACAGGAATCTGGCAATGGACTGAATGGAAGTTTTGATCCTCCCATAATGGAAGATATTGATGAAGAATGTTCTCAAAAGATGCAAGAAAATAGCAAGAATATTTTGAATCAAAAGTCTTCGGAATATCCCACTGATTTAAGCGACACTACAGAAAGTGAAGAAAAAGTTAAAGGTTTTGTATTTTTTAAATTTTCTGTTTCTTTCATTATTTTGTACTTTAAATGTTTAAAAGTTCTTCCTTAGTTTTTAATTTTAGTAATTTGTAGGCTTGAAAACTTTAAAAATAAATAGAATAAAAACAATTTTATCATTATACACACTGTTGCAAAAGAATGTGGGCCCACCAGTGGCCGAGTGGTAAAGTCGCTGAACACTGGTAGTTCGATCCGAGGTTCGAATTCCACGAACGGGCTGGCTGCATGGGCATTTTCCTGGTTTTCCCCATGTGTAACGTGTATACGAGCCAGTTTCTCTTAGAAAGTCCTCCACGAAGGCATCCCTCCCCTTAGGCAGATAGCCCTAGTGTTTTTTGCCGTAATTAAATAAACCAAGCCAAACCAAAAGAATGTTTGCACCCCTAAAAAAAATTAAGGCACAACTATGAAATGTGACATGCAAATGTGGCTGGGTGAGTTGTGTAAATGATTAAACTTGCAGCACCAGTCAGCATTGTGGAGCGATACAACACACACCTAAAATGCACTACTGATAGAATGTAAAAGAGCATTTACAACCATGTTGATAACTTGGATACACAACATTATAGCGAAAGATGATAGACATTACGAACAGTTGTCCGAGTGTGAGAGGAGTCACATCATAAGGGCTAAAAGAGGCCAGTTGGTCAAAGAGGCGAATCAACCGGTATATTGGTTGAAGCGATAAGCCATTGACCATTGTTGGAACCAGCGGCTCAGCGAAGGCATAGTCAGTCAGATGATCGTGCAGTTAAAAGAGCTGCTATGCCTGCACCAACAGTTATGCTATCATAGATTCAATGCCATTTGCCAACTTGCAGGGATCTAGGGATGTGATGTGCAGAAGACTAGGTGACACTGGTCTCAGATGTCAGTGTCCATTAAGACTCTTGCCATGGACACCACACCATAAGCAGTGTTGTCTTGCATGGTGCTGCTCTCGCTCGAGCTGGACAGTGTCTGATTGCAGAAATGTGATCTTCAGCGATGAGTCGTGAATTTCTCTCAATACTGATGACGACCGCATCCTTGTCTGAGGATGTGGAGGTGAGCAGTTCAATTCACTATTTATTAAAGAGTGGTACACAGCCAAAACACATGGTGTGACAGTCTGGAGTGATGACACACATGGCACACATGGTCTGACAAAACATGGTCTGATATGGAGTGATCATTTGGGACAGCTGAGGTACTCTTGACTGCTTACAGGTGTGTTGACAACATTTTGCTGCCAATGGTACTGCCTTTGCTAGCAAGTTGACTATGTTCTGTTTTCCAGCAGTACAATGCTCAGCACAACTTTCCAACAATGTTTTCAATGTGTTAATGTCCTCGACTGGCCTGCCAGGTCTCCAGACCTGTAGCCTACCAGTTGCTCCATTTGTGGCATTATCAATTGCAGAAGGACATTGTCAACTTTTTAGACTTTGTGCCCAACTAAATATTGTCTTGTATAGCTGCCAGGGGTGGCTTTACCACCTATTGATTTTCACATTCTTTGTATTGCTGCTCATAAATAAAACAGTTTTTTTTTTTTTTTTTTTTTTTTTTTTTTTTTTTTGTCCCAGTTTTTTTTTTAATCATTTGCTCATCTACTTGAACACTATACTACTGCTAAGTTTTGTAGTTGTGGCTCAGTTCTTCCTGAGTGCATATATTTTTTGGTAACAGAGTATTGTATTTTAGGGTATTACAGTAGTTTTTTAGAAATTTGTTATGTCATTATACATTTTTCTTTATACCATATAGATAAAATTCAGTATAATAATAATACATCTCCATAATAACTAAATAAAATAATAAAGCTGTTTTCCTTGTTATATTAAGCCTAACTTAATTAGCAATAAGTAAGGAAGAACGGAATCCAAATATACATAAAAATCAACCAACAAATAAATTTTATCAAATTAATTAGTAATTAATAAAAAAATAAAAAGGAAGCAGAATGGTTCAAAAAATTTGTATTTTCCTGTGACATGCATCAAAGTAACAGCCAGTGAAGGATATGGTTATAGCATTGAACCATGTGATGGATATCTTCTGTTTTTCAAAATGAATTAAAAGATTTGTTGGTGCAAACTATGAAATTCTGGAATTTGAATTACTTTCTTTAAGCAAAGGTATGTTAAAAAAATTCACAAATGTTTTCAACTTTAAAAAAAGTAAAAAAAGTTTAAATTGAATTTTTTGGGGAAAAAAAATGCTCCGAGATGCACATCTTCACATGGAACATGTCTACCAAAATTCGTAGCTCTGATCTTTATCATTTATGCGCTGAGTGATACACGCATAACTTTTCTATTTTATTATTGTAGATAATAGTAATTTATTATTGTTGTCATAATCAGTTAAATCTATATTAAATATACACAATACATTTATTATCTTAAATAATTTGACAATTCTATTCATTGAAAATTGATATTCTATGGGTATCTGCTACTTTTATATTTATTTTAGCATTAGGTAATATTTTAAATGTACACAACTAAATTTTATATGCTCCATAGCTTCCACTTTTTATTTCTTATTTATGCTAATATTTTTTATTTTATTAAATTGATATGAAATTCATAAGAACATTGCATGCATGAGATTGAAAGTGAGTCTTTTCAATTCTTTCTTCTTCTATTCGTAAAACAAAGATTATGTTGTTTCACATATGTATTTTCAAAAATGGCAGACATTTAACATGATGTAATGAAATAGATTTTTATGGTGAATCTTCCCTTATTTTATACTCAAATAACAAAACAAAAAATCAATTGAGCTGTACTTTCTTTGTAAGTTGAATGAAATATTTCAGTACTTAGAATCAGCTTGATCATAAAACTATTTAGCTTAATAGCCATTTGTTATGCATATCTTCCAGAAAATGTAAATCTAGCTCTAATAATAATAATAAATCTTTTCAAATGTTAATCAGGCAAAAGTGTTTTGATATTTTATCTCATTAATAAAGTCTGGAATTTTCAGATGTATTTATTTTAATAAAATATGAGGTGTGCTGCCATAGGGTGTTTTAAAATTAAGAGCTTATTAATAAGTAATGGACTCTTTCTGGTAGAGTTTAGTAGTAAACTGGTACTAAAGATTCTTGAATTCATTTTAAAACTTTAAGTAGGTTGGTTTGGTTTGGTTTATTGAGATTACAGCAAAGCACACTAGGGCTATATGCCTAAGGGGAGGGATGCCTTCATGGAGGACTTTCTAAGGGAAACTGGCTCGTATACACATTACACATGGGGAAAACCACGAAAACGCCCATGCAGCCAGCCCGTTCGCGGGATTCGAACCCCGGACCGAACTACCAGTGTTCAGCGACTTTACCGCTCGGCCGCTATTGGGCAAACTTTAAGTAGAAAACTTGTATAAACATGAGATTCATTTGTATCATCAATTTCTTAAAGAAGAACTGATTGTCTGTCTTAAATTTCTTGCAAAATAAGTGCTTTTAAGCACGGTAAAATCAGATGCATATTACAGAGTTGTCAGCTTTCCCGATTTAGGTGGGAGATTCCCAATTTCCGACCGTACTCCTGCCAACCTTATTTACAACAGATTTCTTCCAACTTTTGCTTATTCTTAAAATATTTCTTGATTTTTATGTAGCTTGGCTTAATACTTTGTTATTTGCACCCCAAAAAGGTGGTTTTTTGGCATCTGAAAGCCCTTGGGTTTTCTCTAGATTACATATAGAAGAAATTCAAAGTCGTTTCATTATTGAGACATTATGACATGCTTCAGTTTTGTGTGTTAGAGCACATGTGTCTGAAAACATTGTGTTATAGTTCTCCAGTGAGCATCAAGCACTGCTGTGGGTCATCTGGCATATATTAGCCAATAAGCACAAAGCAAGATTGGGTTTGTTATTTCGTTTGTTTTGCTCTGAGTTAAAGAAACAGTTTAAGGAATTGCTATCTTTTGTCTTAGTAATGTGTACTATGTATGAGAAACAGTTGTCATGTACTTTTCCAAATTCATGCACAGAGAACTTTCCTTGTGATGTGTGCTGTTTATCATTACGATTTTTCGATTTCTCATAGTGGAAGGGCCAATGTTCTTAAACGTGCACATACACAAAAGCACAACGAGATGAGTTGTATTGGGGGGAACTAAATTTTTCTGGAGAAACAAATGACCAAAAGGAGTTATAAACGAACAGGGCTTGTTCTTCCCAATAATGAAGTTGCTAAGAAATGCTCAAGCGCAAGAAACAAAAACAGCAGCAATTGTTAAAGAAATGGGTGTGAAAAGTAAATATACAGTTATTGAATTGCATTGAAACAGCTCTATTTTGCCGTTTTCAGAAATTGAGTATAGTTTGCTTTCCGTCCTCACTTTAGAAGGAGATTTGACAATATCTTTAATATAGCACAGCTAATTATTAAAACTTTAAAAGAAAATGCAGTTCTGCTGGATAATTGCTTAGCATGACATATTAGTGGTAGGCTTGAAGACTGGTGTTGCAGGTATTTAAATAAATAAATAAATAAAAAATAAATAAATAAATAAAAGGGGGGGAATTCAGACCTTGCAAATTATGTAGTGCAGCTGTCACTTCTTAAATATAGCAGTTGAGAAAACAGCACAGCTTCTGTACCAACAAGTGTGGATGAACACATTATTGATATATATTATCATCTTGAAATGAATTCTAAAAGGAAATGGAAAATTGAAAAAATTCGAATAGCTGCACACTACTGATACATGAAAAATTTTGAGTAAAAAAATTCAAGTAGCTGCATAATACTGAAATTAAAAAAAAAAAAAAAAAAAAAAAAAAAAAAAAAAATTGAAACTTATGTACACCTGGTAATCTTCAGAGAAATGTTTATATAGAATAAAGGAAGTAAACGCTTTTAGAGTTAAAAAGCTGTGTTAAACGTTATAAAATACCTAAAGTGAGTGAAGCTGTACTTACTACAACCATTATTAAAAATGGGTGTTAGGGTTAAGAATTTCTGCACCTGTG